AGGGAAAGAAGGAAACTGAGAAGAATAGTAGGAGAAAGGTGTTTGTTATTAAGGGGAAAATATGTAAAAAGGGGGTAAAGGGGAGGGGGGGAAGGAGTACTATACAAAGAACTATGGGAATAAAGGGGGGAAAATTCTCCAGATACACAGTGAAAAAAAAAAAAAAAGCCAAGTGTGGTGGCACACTCAGAGGCGAATCTCTGTGAGTTCAAGGACAGCCTGGTCTACATAGTGCGTTCCAGGCCAGCTGGGGCTACAGGGAGACCCTGTCTCAAAAAGACCAAAAAATAAAAAAATAAAAAATCCCTAAGCACAGAAGGAACCCTACAGGGATGGAAGAAAACCCTTCCAAAAGCAATATGGTTGTTAAATGAAAATCCCAGTGCCAGAGGTGGGCTGCCCCCTATGAGCTACTGACCTGAGGGACACTAGAGGTCCCCAAAACAATAAAGGCCATTGCCAATAATGTTGGTTGTACACCAGAAGTGGATGGAAAAACTCTACTGCTGAAGATATTGCTGATTTGAGCACGGGAGAGGGAGAAATCAAGCTTGGACTAAGCTGGAAACTCCCTGCCACTGGATGGGTGGCTTTTCATGGTGCCAAAAGGCAAAATGCAGATGACTGGAGAGTAGTCCTCTATAATTCTCCTCAATGATGGACCCTGAGTGTTGCATTATCAACATACCAAACAAGATGTTCCTGCTGGTGCAATAGTGGAGCATCTAGTGTATGTACAACCAGCAAATTTTTGATTGGATATAATGCTCGCTCCTAGGTGTGGAACACACATCTGGTACTGTAGACCAGGCCAACCCCCTGTGGCAGGGGAGACTATAGGCCCCAGTGGGAAGTCACTGCAATTGCTTTGTTAGATGGAAATGATGCACCTGTTAAAGTACTAACCAAGCATTTGTGTTGACACCCACAGGTTAAGTTATCATAATAGTCACTGTTTAGATGTTCTTGCTTCTTGCTGTATTTTTATAGTAGATGGAATCCCATTCAAACTGGCCAACAATCCATGGAAAACAGATGATGCAGAGACCTGATGTTCAGTGCCTTGCCACTCACTACCACCCACTCCAAGGCTCAGGGAACTTTTTCGGAGGAGGTTGGCGGAAAGAATCTAAGAGTCAGAGGAAGGGGTGGAGTGTTAACTGGACCTATCCTCCAACCACTATGCTGGCAAACTATAGTCACACCTCCTTCCCACTTTCATTAAGGAGTTGGGGGGTAGTCAGTTACTTCTCCCACCCAATCATTAGACCTCAGCTGCATGTTAGGAGAGTGACAAAGGATATATGAGCTGAGAACATGAAGAGCTACCTCTCTCACAATTTTGTGTGGCTGTCGAGAGATCACAGGATCTGTATTTGAGTGTGGACTTTACAGGACAGCTGTAAATGTGGGGCACCCACTCTTCTGTCAATAAACCATGTATGCACTGTAAAAAAAAAATTAAAAAAACAAAAAATAAAGCAAGAATCTTAAAAAAAAAGATTTTATGTGTATGTCTGTGTGCCTGAGTGTACGTATGGTGTCTAAAGGGGCCAGAAGAGGGTTGGATTCCCTGAATTACAGGCGGTTGTGAACTGCCCAACATGGCTGCTAGGAATTGAACCTACATCCTCTAAAAGAGCAGCAGGTGATCCTAACTGCTGAGCCATCTCTCTAATATTCTCTCTCTCTCTCTCTCTCTCTCTCTCTCTCTCTCTCTCTCGTTTTGAGACAGGGTCTCCCTGTGGCCCCAGCTGGCCTAGAACTTACTATGTAGACCAGGCTGGCTTTGATCTCACAGAGATCTGCCTGCTTCTGCCTCCCAAGTGCTGGGAGTGCTGGGATTAAAGGGATGCGCCAAAATGCCCGGCTAAAGAATCTTTAAAACAAATGAGCAGGAATTTGGGGAGATGGCTCAGTTGGTAAAGTACTTGCCACACAAACATAAGGACCTGAGTTCAGATCCCCAGCACCCATGTGAAAAGCTGAGCACCCTGTGTGCACCTGTAATCGCAATATTGGGAGGACAAAGACTGGGATCCCTAGGGCTTGCTGGCTAGCCAGTCTAGATGAATAAGTGAGCTCCAGATTCAGTGAAAGACCTTGTCTCAAAAACTAAGATAGAGAAACCGGGCGTGGTGGTGCACGCCTTTAATCCCAGCGCTTGGGAGGCAGAGGCAGGCGGATCTCTGGTCTACAGAGCGAGTTCCAGGACAGCTGGGGCTGCAGGGAGACCCTGTCTCAAAAAGAACAAAAAAAAAAAAAAAAAAAGAAATAGAAGAACCCAGCATGGTGGCACACAATTTTAATCACAGCACTCTGGAGGCAGAGGCAGGCTCATTTCTGAGTCCTAGGCTAACCTGGTATACACAGCAAGTTCCAGTCCAGTCGAGTTCCAGAGCAACTGGGCTCCACAGTGAGACAGTCTCACAAAAGAAGTGGCAGTGGGGGAGGCTGATGAGATGGCTCAACAGGTAAACCTGATAACCCGAGTCTGATTCCTGGAGCCCACATGATGGAAGGAAACAACCTACTCCCACAAGTTATCCTCCAACCTCCACAAGCTTGCTATGACACTCGTCTACCCCATCCCACCCTGCTTGTGCGTGTGCACCCTCATTTACAAAAAACTAAATAAATGTAATGGAGAATTTAAAATGAATGAGGTGGAGAAGCAACTGAGGAAGGCGCCTGATGCCGACCAATGGCCTGCACACGCACGCTCTGATGCCGACCAATGGCCTGCACACGCACGCTCTGATGCCGACCAATGGCCTGCACACGCACGCTCTGATGCCGACCAATGGCCTGCACACGCACGCTCTGATGCCGACCAATGGCCTGCACATGCACGCTCTCATAGATGCACTTGCACCCACATACAGAAAAATGATCAGACCTTGAAAAAAAAAACTGGAGCTAGCCTCCAACCCACCTTCTCCCCTCTTCTTTTCCAATGCTGAGGATCAAACCCAGGGCCTTGATCATTCTAAGGAAGCACTGTACCATTGAACTCCATCCTCACCCTGCCTTGAACCTTTGATCAGTCTCTAGGAGTAGAATGTTAAAGTTTGAGAGATCTACTATTCTCAACAAAATATCTTTTTGGCTGGGATTGTAACCCAGTGGTGAAGCACTTGCTCAGCATGTGCAGAGTTCTAGGTTAGATTACCAACACTGGGTGTGTATGTGTGTGTGCATGTACGTACCAAAATGTCACTTTCAGGCTGAGGATATAGGTCAGTGATTGATAGTGCTTGCTTAGAATGTGGGAGGCCCTTGATCCAATCCCTAGCACTGAAAGTAAATAAATAGACAAAAAAATAAATAAATAAAAAATAAAAAAGGCAGAAATGCCATGTTCTGCCTGCTCTTAGTTTTGTAAGGTAATGGCTCCAAGGCCTGTCCCAAATGTGTAATGTGTCAGGCCAGTAGATAACTTACACAGACTCCATTTCCATTGTTCTTTTCCAAGGAGCTCTATGCCTTGACTGGTCTCTTCCTCAGTACCTGAAGTCATATTGGCTATATAGGGCTTCTAGAATCTGGTAGAGTCCTTTTAGAGTTTGTCTTTTATATGTAGAAAGGAGCAATTCATGCAGATGTCTCTCACACACTAACCTCTTTTTAACATGGATCCCCCAGGGCTGCCTAAGGACCAAAAATAAATGATAGTTGCCTGCATAGGAGGGGATGGATGATGCTTTGGGCAGAGTGTCGGCTCAGCTCAGGACATGCACAGGGCCTTCTTCACCACACAGTGCTAAAACAAGTCCAGCAGATTTTCCTGTCTTGGATTAGTTGGTGCTGTGTTGTTGTGACCCTCATGAGAGAAGTCTTTACCATCTGCTTAGAGACTCTCATTTGTATAGCAAGTAGAAACTGGCTGCCTTTTGAAGACCTTTTGTGTAGACAGGATTCTGATGCTGGAGGAGACTGGTTGGAAGTCAACCACTACCTCTCTAGGTACCAGGGAGGCTGGGAGGTGGCGATGCTGGTGCTAGACAGCTGAAGTTCTGGCCCAAGAATGCAAGCCCTTAACTGGGTCAGACCAGTGGCTGGAGGTGCATACAGGGCATGGCTTTTTTTGTATGGCATAGCTGCTCTTCTGTGTGAATTTTCTGGTGGTTAAGTAAGTTGGGGTCAAATTGTTGTGTAAAGACCTGTGTTTCACCAGGCATGGTGGCACACATCTTTAATTCTAGCACTCAGAAGGCAGAAGCAGGCAGATCTCTGTGAGGCCAACCTGGTCAACATAGCAAATTCCAGGCCAGCTGGGGCTACAGGTAGACCTTGTCTCAATAAGACAAAAAAGAAAAAGAAAGCCGAGCATGGTGGTACATGCTAACTTTAACCCCAGCACTTGGGAGGCAGAGGCAGGCAGATCTCTGTGAGTTCAAGGCCAGCCTGGTCTACATAGTGAGTTCCAGGACAACTGGGGCTACAGGGAGACCCTGTCTCAAAAAAAGACCAAAAAAAAAGAGAAAGAAAGAAAAAGAAAGATGTTTCTCACCTTATGTGAATGCTCTAGGGATAACAAGAGGGTGCCCATGTCCAGTTCTTCCTATGATCAGTGCACTTGGTAGGGTGCTCTATGTGAGCTCCCTAGTGATGAATCCCGTGAGCAAAGGTTTTAGGACAGACGAGTTCATTTTTCTCCAGAACTTGGTACTGTCCTGCTTCAGCCTCCTAAATGCTGGGATTAGATGATTGTTTTCAACTCTTTTCTGGAGAAAGGAAAATGGCATTTTTCCTTCTAAACCACTTTCTTCCTTTCAAAGGTCTGGTTAGGCAACAAGAAAACACACAGCCCATGGCTGCTGCACCATGTAAAGGGGGAATTTGGCTCATTAACCGTCAAGAACGCTATCAAACTTTGAAAGAGTAGAAAAAGGATGAGACCGGATGAGTCTTCCCAAGGTTGCTTTCTCCAGCATTAAAGGTGCACCAGAGGCGGTTTAAACAGACAGGACTGGAGACTTAGTCTGTGGATGACTTACAAGACCCGATGTTCTCTGCTCGGTTCCCTTTTGGAACTCTTCAGTGTCACCTTCACCTACAAGCAATCTTGCTTGCCTGTGAGAAAATACAGAAACCAGGGATTAAGGCTCCTAGGGATTAAATCAAACTCGGGGAGGTAGAAAAGATCGTCCTGCGGGAGCACCCGGAACCCGAGGGCAGAGGAAAGAGCGGAGGAAGCAACCGAGAGCCGAGGAGGAAGAGGACTCTCCTGATGCTCTAGCTTTCCCTTCTCAATAGAGGGCAAATGGCGCGGGGCAAGTTTTGAAAGCTCAGGCCGAGAGGGCAGGCGGACGCCGGGCACCTCCCTCTCTCCCTCCCGCAGGCATTCCAGACACACCAAAGTGGAGCCGGCCAGAGCACCTTGAGCCAATTAGGGTGCCGGGCTTTCCCAGGCGACCATTACTGCCTGGCAGTCTCCAGACTCGGGTGGAGGAGGCCGGACTGCGGGAGCGCGAGTCCGGCGGCCAATCTTCGGTTTGGGGGGAGCCGGGCGGGACCTCAGCGAGCCAGGGGCGGTGCCTGTGCTTGGCGGGTGGGTGGGGGTGGGGTGTCAGGAGTGGCACGGGGAGGAGGGAGGTCTAGAGAGGAGGCCTGGGGGTGGGGGTGGGGGGTAGGGCTGGTGTTGGAACTCAGCCCGCAGGTTCGGGCTCCAGGGCCTCCACCTGCGGTCAAAGGGGCGTCTGCCTTTCCGAGGAGGCCAGAGCTGACCTGGAGGCTGGGAGACGAACTAGACGCCTCCCCCGCTGGCGCCGGGAAGCGTCGCTCCTTCTCGCTGACCTTGGTCTCGCTTGTCGCCTCGCCCTTGGCCACATACACTGCCGGGCACTGGCTCCGAGAGCTCTGCGGGCAGGTGGCTGGGCGGACCGAGACCCAGGCTGCAGGCATACGCGGCTCCAGCTCCTCCCGCCCGCTCCGGGGGGTCGGGGCTCCCCCACCCCGAGGCCTGGGCGATCCAGTCCAGGGTTAATGCCAACGAGTTTCCACCTCCAGCCGCTCCTAGAGAGGCCGCGGCGCTAGCCAGCGGGGGGACCTGGCCTCGGACGGACACTTCCTGTGCGGGGGGAGGGGGTCGGAGAGCAGCAGCCCAGCCCGGGGCTGGGGGGCTACACGGCGGGGTCTCGGGCTGGGGGCGGTGGCTGGGGGCGGCCGGGCGAGGCGACGAGCCCTTCATCCCCAAGGCTACCACGCGTGGGGCGGCGAGGGCCACCGGACCATCGGAGACCTTGGGAGGGGGGCGGGGCCGCGCGGAGGGGAGGGGCCGGCGAAGCCCAGGGTCAAGACGTCCGGCCTTCGGGGCCCGAGCCAGGCCGCCAGGTCTCCTGGGCGGCACTGAGCAGGCGAGTGGGAGGGCTCGGGTCTGCGGACACTTAAGCCGGGTCGCCGCATCGCCGGATCGCCCGCCATCACCTCCGCCGCTGCACTGGGAGCTGGCGGGGATGGAGCGGGAGGCGTCGCCGTGGGGCCTGGAGCCCCGGGATGGGCGAAGTCCTGACGAAGTGGGGAGCCCGGAGGGGTCTCTCAAAGGTGAGGGAGGGACTGCGTCTCCTAAGAGTGTGCCTGGGAACGGGGCTGTGCCTCACGGGAAGGAAAAAGGGCCGGGGGCTTGGACGCTTGGGACTGGTGGGGGCAGGGAGGGCTGGGGACTGGGTGTCCAGGGTCTTCGGAGATGAGGTGGCGAAGTTCAGCACTCGGCTCAAGGGCCAGCGACCGTGTTTGGGGAGGTGAGGGAGAGAAGTTTGTGACAATTAATGGACCAAATAACCTTGCAGGCCCCCATGCAATCAGGATTTTCTTGATTCTCTGATCCTGCAGGCAACACGAGTGAGAATGAGGAAGAGGAAATTTCTCAGCAAGAAGGCAATGGGGACTATGAAGTTGAAGAAATACCGTTTGGGCTTGAACCCCAAAGCCCTGGGTTTGAGCCACAAAGCCCAGAGTTCGAATCCCAAAGCCCCAGGTTTGAGCCTGAAAGCCCAGGGTTTGAGTCCCGAAGCCCTGGGTTTGTGCCCCCAAGCCCTGAGTTTGCACCCAGAAGCCCTGAATCAGATCCTCAGAGTTCTGAGTTTGAATCCCAGAGCCCTAATTATGAGCCCCAGAGTCCTGGCTATGATCCCAAGAGTCCTGGCTATGAACCCCGGAGCCCTAGGTATGACCCCAAAAGCCCTGGGTATGATCCCAAGAGCCCTGCCTTTGAATCTCAAAGCCCCAGGTATGAATCCCAGAGTCCAGGGTACAAACCACAGAACTCTGGACATGAACTTCAGAATCCTGAGTTCAAAACCCGTAGCCCTGGATTTGAAGCTCAAAGTTCCAATGCAGAGATGCTTCTGGACCCCGAGAAAAAAAATCCCATGAGCATCCCCCTAGGAGTCCACCCCCTGGACTCCTTCACTCAGGGATTTGGGGAGCAACCCACAGGAGCACTGCCTTTAGGGTCACCTTTTGATATGCCCACAGGGGCCCTGCTGGCAACACCCCAGTTTGAGATGCTCCAGAATCCCCTGAATCTGACAGGAACCCTTCGGGGTCCAGGCCGTAGGGGTGGCCGGGCCAGGGGCGGGCAGGGCCCTCGGCCTAACATCTGTGGCATCTGCGGGAAGAGCTTTGGGCGAGGCTCCACCCTGATCCAGCACCAGCGCATCCATACTGGTGAGAAGCCTTATAAATGTGAGGTCTGCAGCAAGGCCTTCTCCCAGAGCTCCGACCTCATCAAACACCAGCGCACACATACCGGCGAGCGGCCCTACAAATGTCCGAGGTGCGGCAAGGCCTTCGCCGACAGTTCCTACCTACTTCGCCACCAGCGCACCCACTCTGGCCAGAAGCCCTACAAGTGCCCACACTGTGGCAAGGCCTTCGGCGACAGCTCCTACCTCCTGCGGCACCAGCGCACCCACAGCCACGAGCGGCCCTACAGCTGCCCTGAGTGTGGCAAGTGCTATAGCCAGAACTCATCCCTGCGCAGTCACCAGAGGGTGCACACCGGACAACGACCTTTCAGTTGCGGCATCTGTGGCAAGAGCTTCTCTCAGCGGTCAGCCCTTATTCCCCACGCCCGCAGCCACGCCCGGGAAAAGCCCTTCAAGTGCCCGGAGTGCGGCAAGCGCTTTGGCCAGAGCTCGGTTTTGGCCATCCATGCCCGCACCCACCTGCCAGGCCGCACGTACAGCTGCCCCGACTGCGGCAAGACCTTCAACCGCTCCTCCACCCTCATTCAGCACCAGCGCTCACACACTGGCGAGCGGCCCTACCGGTGCGCCGTGTGCGGCAAGGGCTTCTGTCGCTCCTCCACGCTGCTGCAGCACCACCGGGTGCACAGCGGGGAGCGGCCCTACAAGTGCGATGACTGCGGAAAGGCCTTCTCACAGAGCTCCGACCTCATCCGCCACCAGCGGACCCACGCGGCCGGCCGGCGCTGATCATGGCTGGCAAGGGTGGGCAGAAGAGGAGAGGACTGGAGCTATAGAAAACTTGAGAGGATAGAAAAGCTGGAGAAGAGAGGGGTGGAGGATTCTAGAAGAGGGGTCAGGGTGCAGGAGCTACAAGCCCTCCGGATGTATGAGAAGTGGGCTGTGAAGAGGGGTTGGAGGAGGCCAAACAGGCAACAAGCCTGGAGAGATGCCTGCCGCTTTTGTCAGCCAGCGGCAGAGTCCGTTAGTGGAGGCCTGGCTTGGCAAAGTGCTAGCTAGATGGGGAGGGGGGTGGGCAAGGGACTGTCACTTAGTAGAGTAGGGTAGCTTAGATTGGTAGCTGCTGAGACCCACATGGAGTCAGGATGAGGGCAAAAGGCAGGTAGGTAGGTGGGGACTGGGGCCTCAGGGTAGGGCCTGGGCCTCACAGTGCAAACCCCATCCTACCTTGTCTTCCTCAGGCTTTGGAGCCCCTGAGTTTGAGTTCAATAAAAATTTTTATGTGATAAAAGAGACTTGTCCTTAAAATATGTGTGTGGACAGTGCCCTGGACAGCAGGAAACAGGCATAACTAGTCATAACTATAGTACCCCAGGTCTCTTCCCAGGAAGTGCTTTATGTCAGTGGTTCATTGGAATCTTAGTATCTGGAGTTCAGGACACGATTTGCCTATAGGTGCCCAAGTTCTCATCCCATGCTTTGCATGCTTCGAAAATTCACAGGGGCTGATTGTGGAAGGCGTGAGGAAATCCTCAGCTTTGTGGGCATCCCCTTCCTAAACATAGAGGGTCTGTGCTTGGCAAGAAAACAGACCTGGATTTCCTCTCCTTAACCGCACCCTCCTCCCCAAGCTGGCATGCCCAGCCATCTCTTGTGCAGATCTTTTCTCCAGGCTCTTAAGACTGGAGCAGTCCTCTGCAGTTCCAGCCCCACCCAAAGAGGGGTGCCCAAGTATGAAGGCTAGACCCCTCCCCCAAGCTCCTTTTGCCCTCCCACCAGGATGGGCCTGATTGTTCACAGCTCTGCTTTCTCAGGACCTGTGTCAGTTGGTGGGACTGCCTTGCCCCTACCCTGCTTTACCCGTTTCCCTTTCCCATCCAAGTTCCATACTCAGGAACTGACTGGGACAGGAGCATTTGGAGTATGGTCTATGGTGACCTTAGCCGAGGACAGGCCACACCTTGGGGAATCTTGCTACTGGGCACATTTTGAGATAATACCTACTTAAGGGCCTGACAGGGCCCTTTGAAGGTTTACTCATTCTCTTTCATAAAGAAAACTGGAGCTCACAGAGCTGTGAATTGCTCAAAGTCACTATGTGACTTATACTAGATTCCACATTCAGACCACATCAACCTGGCTTCACCTCTGCCTAGTCACACAGGCAGATTTAAGTGTCTTGGGTCTCTGCAGATGGCATTCCCAGCCATGAGTCCATCCTTAGGGCCTTGGAACTTGTAAAGAATAAATAGTCTCAGGGCTGGAGAGATGGCTCAGTGGTTAAGAACACTGACTGTTCTTGCAGAAGACCAGGGATCGAATCCCAGCATCCACATGGCAGCTACCAACTGTCTGTAACTCCAGTTCCAGAGGATCCAACAGTCTCTTCTGTCCTCTGCAGGCATTGCACTACACAGGTGCACTTACATGCAGGCAATACATACGTACACATAAAATAAAAATAAATGAAATACTTAAAAAAAAGAGAATAGTCTCCCATTTCTATCCAGGTGGCCATGTTCTGCAAGCTCTGGAAGGGGCCTACTGACCATGTTCAATTCAGTTTGCTTCATTTTCAAAGTAGAACATTATTGTTCAAGTGAAATCTTTTTTTTTTTTTTTTTTTTTTTAGACAGGGTCTCCCTATAGTCCCAGCTGGCCTGGAACTTGCTATGTAGCCCAGGGTGGCCTTGAACTCACAGAGATCCGCCTGCCTCTGCCTCCCAAATGTTGGGATTAAAGGGGTGTGCCACTAGGCCCAGCATTCAAGTGAAATCTTATGGTCTTTTAAAGATCTTTATGAAATTGATACAGGCTCTTTTTTTGACTCCCACTCTATTCCCCGCCCCCAAGCGGTATGTCACTAGATAGTCCAGGCTGTCTCAGTGTCTCGGTGTCCTGAGTGTTAAGATTAAAGGTATGTAATTGCCAAGCCCGGTTTGTATGATGCTGGAGATTGAACCCAGGGTAAGGGAGTGTCACTTGGAGTAGAGTAGTTTAGATTGACTGCTGTTGAGACCTTCAGTAGATATCAACTGAGCTACATCCACAGATCCCATAGCTGGCTTTTAAACACTCATTTTGGAGTTATTTATTTTAGGACTGTGACTCGAGACTAGCAGCATGCATTTGTTAGGTAAGTGTTCTACCACTGAGCTACCTCTGCAGTTTCAAATGTTTCTAAAAAATTTTTATGTGTATGAGTGTTTTGCCTACATGTAAGTGCACCACACGCATACAATGCTGGTAGAGGCCAGAAGAGGGCATTGGATGCCCTAGAACTGAAGTTACAGATGATGGTTAGTCACCACGTGGATGCTGAGAACTGAACCCTAGTCCTTTGGAAGAGCAACTGATGTTCCTAATCACTGCACCATCTCTCCAGCCCCTATTTTTTGTTGTTTTGTTTTGTTAAATGCAATTCTTTTTTGGATCATTTTCAATTTGCATTTACAAACATTTAACACAAGAAAAAAAAAAACAGACTACTCCACTCTTCTCTCAACGTCTAAGGCAGAAATGGGACCGTAAAGAATTATTTCTGGAGACTTTCATTTAAAACAAAAACCAGGCAGAGGTTAAAGACGAGGACTCACTACTCAGCCTGGGCTAGTCTGGAGCTGAAAATCTTCCTGCCTCTGCTTTGAGGTGATAGGATTAAAGGTGTGTGCTACCACATTCAGCTTGGCTTTCACACCTGGGTCGAAGATGTTGGCTGGGGTCTTTTATAGGGGGCTTTGGGGGGATTCTGAAGGCAGGAAAAAAAATTTGTTTTAAAGTTAGGTGGGGGCTGGAGAGATAGCTCAGCAGTTAAGAACACTGGTTGTTCTTGCAGAAGACCTGAACCCACACATGGCAGCTAACAACTGTCGGTAATTCCAGTCCCAGGGGATCCGACAGCGTCTTCTGTCCTCTGCTGCACTGCACGACATGGGTGCACTTACCTACGTGCAGACAATACATGCATACACATTAAAAAAAAAAAGGTGGGAAAAAGGTGGGAAAAAGGTGGGAGAGAGAGAGCACTCAGGGCTTATCAGAAGAGAGTAACCCCTGCCATCCTCTTCCATCGGCCAGGATCTGGGTCAAAGGTGTAAAGAGTCTCTTTTCCTTTAAGATCATCAAAGAGGAAGTATGCTGTGCTGAAGTGACTTCTTGCAGTAATCAGGTCTCTGGTCAAAAGGTGGAGTCTGTTTATCTTGTGTTCCCAGATCAGGGTGCTCATTAACTCAGTTCCTGCATTCTCAGGGGCCCTGCAGAACCGTGAGGCCCTGCTGCATTGGGGAGGGAGTTGCTGTGGGTCCAAACCCTAACATTCCAGCCCTTTGTGTTATAGGATAGGGGGCGCTGTTGTCATCTTGCTACTTCTTGCTGGACAGAGTCGATGTGTGTGGGGGGCTGGATTAGGGGTCTGTCAGACAGTGGGGGTTCCCTCCTCGTGCTTCTGAACAGGGTCCTCGGTGGTCGACAGGTGTTCCTATACGTGTGGAGGGAAAGAAAGTAACAGCTGGTTAAAATGAATTAGTTGTTGGATTGGCCCTGAAAATATCTGAAGAGGTGAGGAGCAATGGTTAGCACCAAAGTAATAGAAATCGGAGAGCTGAGTGAGGGCAGAAGCCAGGAAGTCAGTCCTGTAAAAATATCCCATTGAGGTAACTGCTGGTACTGGGAAGTTTTATGGTTTTTTAAAAATATTTTATTATTTTTATGTGTATGAGTGTATTGCCTGCATGTATGTGAGTGCACCTGTGTCATGAAATACGCGGACATCAGAAGAGGCCTTTGGATTCCCCTGGAACTGGAGTTAAGGACAGTTAGTAGCCACCATGTGGGTTCTGGGAATCGAACCCGGGTCCTCTGCAAAAGCAGTTAGTGCTCTTAACCGCTGAGCCATCTCTCCAGCCCATTTTAAAAAATATTTTTATTATTTTTATTTTATGTGAATGTGTGTATTGCCTGCATGTAGGTAAGTGCACCCATGTCATGCAATGCCCAAGGAAGACAGAGAGGCTATTGGATCCCCTGGAACTGGAGTTACGGACAGTTGTTAGCTGCCATGTGGGCTGTGGGATTCGGTCCCTGGTCTTCTGCAAGAACAGTCAGTGTTCTTAACTGCTAAGCCATCTCTCCAGCCCTGGTACTGGGAAGTTTTAAGTGAAAGATAAAATCTTTTTGGTATAAGAGCTCCCAAATACTTTTAACATTTTTGGCCTTTGGAACAGCGTACATTGCTAAAAGGCCCAAGGATAGTTTGACTTTTAGCCAATAAGAAACTGGCTTCTTTTCTTTGGGCTCTTTTACCCTAACTGCCTAGCCAGTTTCTACCTTGTATTCTTACCACACCACCCTCTGAAGAGGTTTACCCAAATTGCCGATAGGGAATTGGGACGCAGATGGCTCTGGCTTCTTCCATGCTGAACAGGGACGCAGGATGAGGCAACTGAGGTATCCCCTTCAGTGGGTTTAACTAAAAGACTCCCAACCTACAAGATGTGAAGGACAGGGAACCAGAAAAAGTCAGAACAGGGCAAATTTCAAATGTCCAAATTAAAGTCCATTGGAATTTTTTGATGAGGGCTTCCAAAATCATCCCTCTACTGGGTCCCTCCTCATTTTTACTTTTTTTCTACCAAGCATGGATGCTTGGAAGCATAGAGGAAATGTTTCCTCTGTGTTGACCCTCCTGTTTGCGGACTGGACACTGGTTCAAGTTCATCTTCTGGGGTCTCCATGGCCTTCCTGAACAAGAGGACAGGTGACTTACCACAGTTACAGGACATTTTGAGAGATGCTCCATAGTCCCCTGGAAGTTACTTGACCTTGGAGGGCAAGGAACAAAAAATTGTCCCTTTAAGTCCCTCCAACCAGATTAGTATAGGCCTCAAAATCTGACTATTAAACATCCAACAAGGTTAGTTCCACTAGTCTTGGTACTTTTAATTACCATGTGCTATGTAGATAGATCTTGGGCAACATTCTTAAATAAACCTTGACTAGACATCCTGAAACTAGTTGACTAAGCTATGACCTTAGAAAATTTAAGATTATCTATATATTATCTTTGTCTCGTCCTTGACAAATCATGACAAATTTACAGAGACTTTCATCACTTGCTTAGGCTTTCTCATTTTTTTCTGTCGATTCTGGAAATATCCAGCCATCATAATCTTTATCCATAAATCCTTCTTAGTAAAATATATCCATTCCCATATCCTTCTAATATCTTTTAATTTTCCATTTTCTGTCTTAATAACCATGAGACACAATAACATTAACAAATAAATTTTCCAT